ATTTCATCTAAAAAAAAAAAAATCTGCAATTCCAACTGCAACAGAAACTGAAGAAAGTAACACTAAGACAGAAGGTGCTGAAGACTTACATACACAGTACACTGAGAATTTAGATAACCCAGATGACCAAACAATAACTACAACATTGAATATGACTTTTTATTTAAACCAGCTGAAACCAGAAGAAGAAGAAGGGCAGCCTGAACTCACGACAAATATACTAAGCCAAATATGGAGACTGAAATTATTAGGCCAACAATCTAATGACTATGAAGGGACTAGCTTCCTTGAAAATTTGATAACTGGATGGTCTTCCTTGATTCAAATGATAATGCAGGAATCAAGGGAGATCCTCCTGAGGATTTAAAGACACTGATATGGAAGCCTGTTTGGCACGAAAGGAAGGCCAGAGTTAGACTTAAAAAATGATTTTTTTATGTGACCTTTAATGAAAGAGCCTAAAATTTCACTTAATGGGCTAAGGAGATTTTAAAAGACATTAATTGATTTAATATTTAAGATTTAGACCTATAAGGGAAATAAAAATTAGTTACTAGAATAATAGTTTTGAATTATAATATAGAAGATGGATTCAGATGATAAAGGTTATTTTATTAGTAAGTGATGATATTAGGATGAGAAGTAGAATATGATTGTGAAATAAAGTAAGAATTTATCTGAATAAATAATAAGTGTATTTTAGATATGATAACTATTTTGTAATGAACTAAGGCAGTGGTTCTTAACCTTTTTAATGCCGCGACCCCCAACCGCTGTAAGTCGAGGACTACTCAACCGGTCGTAAGTCAAGGACTACTCAACTGGTGCAGCATCGTTTGCAGAATGGGACTTTTGGCGGGCTCAGCAGGGCAGAGACAGCCTGGACAATTCCTATTGGCTTTTGAAAGCCAATAGAATTAGACTCTATTCAAGAGAGTCTATTCTACTGGCTTTCAAAAGCCAATAGAATAAAAGGGAGTAGCACAGCTAAGGAAAAGGGGAAAAAATGATGGACTGCGTTGTTTGGCGACCGTGAAATGTTCGTTCAACCCCAAATGGAGTCCCGACCCACAGGTTGAGAACCACTGAACTAAGGGAATCGTGGGCTATCCAAAACCTAAATACTATGGACATTAAACCAATTGGAATACTATAACTGAAATCAGATAAAAGTTAAAAACAGGATATGGAGGCGTATAAGTAAAAAGTTATTGATAAATGTTTCAATTGATTGAATTATAACTAGCAATGTATTAATTTGAATGTGATATAATAACCAAGGGAACAGAGAGGAAATATTTGATGATGTAACCTGATATATGTATGAAAGAGCTTGTTATTGGACTATGTTATTGGACAATCACCATGTTGCTTCCTTAATACCTGGAGCTTTGTAAAATTGGAAAATTAATAAAACTTGTTTAAAAATAATAATATTTTTTTCTTATAAAATTAGGAAAACACAATGACCTCAAGGTACTTGGTAAGTAATCCCATATGTTTTTATGAGATACCAGTAGCCTGGTACTATATAGAAATCTGATAGTGAAAAAAAACCTGTTAGAATTTTTTTTAATTTTTTTTTTTTGGTAAATTTTTATTGATTTTCTAATATTACATTTAAATATTTGAAAGCAACGTGGTGGCTAGGTACAATAATTCTATTACATATAGATATCATTAGTACACATCTCAAATGGTTACAATCCCCATTCCCTTTCTTTCTCCCTTAATATCTACTGTCTCATATTTTAACTAATACAATTCTTGTTCTATCAATCAAATAGAAAGTAACTTTCTAATATTTATCAATAATTTTAGTTGATATATATCTTAGTTATTTTAACTTTCAGTCTTTAGACAATCAATGACCCAGTCGATTTTTCTCAATTTTAATTTTCCATTAATATTTAAATTTAACTTTTAATAATTATCATTTCCACACTTTAGATGACTGCAATTCCTTTATCACCATTCTTCCCAAAGTCTAATATTTAGGATACGCATCTTATCTATATAAGTTCTCACCATCTACATCAACAAGTTAATAATGCAATAATAGTATTCTTATTTTCTAATAATTCTCAAATACCTTAAATTCTTAAATTTAATAACCAAAATTTCCTTTATTTCCACATTTAATACTTCCTCTTTATATCTACTGTCTCATATTTAGAACTAATAATTTTTCCTCTTACTGCTACATAAAGAATATTTATTAATTTCATCAATAAGGTTTTAACTTATATATTTCTTAATCATCTTTACACAATCTTTATGCACAAGTCAATATTCCAATTAACTTATTAATATTTTAGCTTCAGAGATTTACATAACCAAAATTTTATTTGTCTCAACTCATAACAGCAACTTATATTCAAAATACACATCTTATCCATTTAAATATATTCTATTTTAAAACTTACAGACATATTTATTGCTTTTATCAATGAAGTTTTAGCTTATATGTGTCTTAATCACCTTTACAAGACCTTTATGCACAAATCAATATTCAAATTTAATTGTGTTTTATATTTCTAAATTTTACTTGATCAAAGTTTTCTTTATCTCAACTCATAACAATATCTTATATTCAAAGTACATCTCTTGTCTGCTTAAGTATATTCTATTTTAAGCTCTCATAATATCCATCTTATCTTTTTAAGTATAGTCTATTTTAAATCTCATCTATAAATCAAAACCCCATTCTTTTTCAGTCTTATTCTAATTTTCTTTCTTTGCCAAATCATCTTCCAGGTCCTTGCTTTGAAATCATCAAGGAGATCTCCTTGGGTTGTTATATCTATTATTTGACTTTGAAATAACCATCCAGTTGCCATTTTTTAAAGAGGGTTAGCAGATCCAGCAGGTCTTTTCCTTGTCTTTCCATTTTCTGAACTGTTTATCTTCTCTTCCATCTGTTTTCCTTTTAGATCCTCAGGCTCCTTTTGCTTCAAATAGGAAGTCTTTGCCTCTTTCCCTTTTGTCAATTTCTTTTCTGTATTTTCCATTGTCTGTATTTGTTGAGCAGCTGAGTCTTCTGTCATGATATTTAATTGTTCCACTTTTTCTGTAGTATTCTGCATAGATGATTCTTTAGTTATAGTCATAATTTGCTTTTGCATGCCCAGGCTGTCTTCTTATTTTTTTTTCTGTAGTTTCTTATTTCATCACCAGCTGTAATTAAGGTTTGAAGAATCTCTTTCAACAGACAAAGAGTTTGGTCCTGCTCTTTTTCCATAAGGAAGATCCATTTCTGATCTTCCCCCATAATAGTATATTTAAACTAAAAGACTTTTCATTCAAGAAATCCACTCAATAAAGAGCACAGCTGTGCTTCTCAAGGTTACATGTATCTCTACTTTCTGGGCTGTCAGCCAAGTCTCTTTTACACAATAACAGATTGCAATATCAGGTTTAGCCTCAAGATGTCTTTCCAAAGTTATTTTAATCTTTTCAGTTTTTTTCCTCTATTTTAAAAGAAAAAACACAGATCTTCCATAAAAATAGGGAAGAAAAATGGAAGAAAACTAGGAACTAGAAAATAAAGAGTCTTCTAATTCACAAATTTTAAGAAATAGATTCCCAATTAGGATCCAGTTATCTTTTCAATGTTTTAAATTCCCCTGGGTAGTCAGTCGCCGCTGTGTCTGGAGGGAGGGCTGAAATCTCCCTTCCCTCTCCACAGGGGGAAAGTACTTTAGCAGCTTGTGTAGGTACAGAAAGTAATTAGGATTTAAGAGAGGTAGTCCTCACCCAGTCCTTTCCACGCTGCTTTGAAGCTGCCAGATGATGAGTGTGGCTTTGGCTGTATGTAGCCTAGTGACGAGCCATATCTCTATGGCCGGTCTTTCGTCTATCAGTTTGGAGGGATTAATGGCTCCAGTTGGACAGCTACCCTCCTTGCTGGTCGCCTCTACGGCAGGGCTTTTCAACCAGTGGTACAGGTACCACCTGTGGTACATTGGCACCTGGCAGGTGGTATGCGACCATCCTAGAAAAGTGGTAGCAGGGAAGGGGAAGGAGCTGAACTGGTGGCAGCACCGCATAAGCCTGAGTGAGAGATGGCTGGAGCTGCAGAGCTATCAAGACTCAGCGGAAGCACCAGGATCAGTGCCACTTTCCAGCTGATCGGTGCTTCTTCAGGGCTGTCAGGGCTCAGTGGAAGCACCAGGATAAGCGCCAGACTCCAGCTGGAGCTCGGCGCTGATCCTGGTGCTTCTGCTGAGCCTGAAGAAGCACCAATCAGCTGGAAAGCAGCACTGATCCTGATGCTTCTGCTGAGCCTAGAAGAAGTGCTGATCAGCTGGAATGTTGCAGCATCTCCAGGGTCTTGTGATTTACATTCAGATGCTTGGCAACTGATTCATATTTATGACGGTCACAGTGTCCCAGAGTCATGTGAAGTGACCAAAACCTGCTGCAACCACCCAACGGATGGGAGGGGAATAAAAACCAAACACACCCCACCCCAACCTTGCTGCCAATCCTCAACAGAAATGCTCACAGCAGTGAAAATCTTGGACAGGAGGAAGAACACCATCGTGTGGGCAGGCAAGTGTCTTGCTCAGCTGTGGCTTGGGGGGCACTTTTTCAGTGCCATTGTAACTTCAAACAGTCACTAAGTGAACTGTTATAAGTCGAGGACTACTTTATCACTTTTTTGTATCACTGTACTTTATCACTTTTTTCATTTTTTTTTTTTTGGGGTCATCACGTTTTTGACACCTTGCTAGGTGACTGGTGGTACTCGGATGTTGCCATATCCTAAAAGTGGTACAATGGGTGAAAAGGTTGAAAAGCCCTGCTCTATGGGGCGACTTTCGACTCTTTTCAGGGTCCCCCAGTGATGCAAAACTGGACAGGGGAGATGGAATTTGTCTCCCAGGCATCCATGGTAGCCGCACGGCAAACCGGAAGTCATATTTTTTTTAATTTAATCAACATGCTGTGTGAAGATAAATATGCAAAATTTTGAAAACATTTTATTGTAAGTGTACCTGTCACAGTTTCCATCGGTGATACAATGCAAATGATTAGCACCTCCATCAGCACATGCTCTCAGAACTGCTGAAAAAAAGGATGTTGCTGTCAAAAAGCTGTCGTCATAACCAAATAACAAATTTATATACATATAAATATTATTTTGCAACATGTGAACTTCAAATATTTTCATTTTTTTACATAGTAACTAATTGCTTCTGTTCCTGGTAGTTGAATTTAACTATCATTAAATATAACTTCATTGTTGTATCTTGTTTGACAGTTTTAGGCCATATATATGAGTTTACCTTTGAAAAATGTCTGCAACATCCATTAGGGTAGACTGATCACTGATACAAAATACTGTGATTAAATTATCCCCCTGCTAAAAAATTATCTGCATTAGTTCTAAACTTTTTTCTAGGAACAAATAAGTCAACTATTTAGGGACTAATGGTTTAGAGTCTGTCTCATATAATAAGTAGACATTCAGAGCTGCAAGAGTTTCTTCCCAAACCCTTTTTCCTACTTGATCTTTCTACTGGGCTTTCTCCTAATTTCTTTTCAAACTCACACTCCCAACTTAAAAGAATAGTGTATCACCTTGCCACTCTTTTTTGTAAATTATTATAGTGTTAATTATTTTTAAACTACTATTTTGGTTTAGTTGTTGTTAGATGTGTCATGTTCAACAAAACAAATACACTAATATCAATACTATTTTAGACAAGAAAGCAGTAACTAACATTTAAGGTATCCAAGGTATTTTTTCATGATATTCACAATATTGTATTCAATTCTTGAAATTGAATTCCTTTTCTTATTGTCCCTGAACCCTTCTTTCTATTGGCCAAATTTCTAAGATTAACTGTCATTGACAACCATCTGAATAGCAAACTCAAAATCAAGGAATCTTCAAGGCTTTGAAGTGCCATAAAAGATAAATTTTTTTGAATATACATCTCGGAACTGAAGAAGCAAGACCAGCTCTAGTTTTTCCACGCAAATATCTGCCTAGTTACCAATAGCTTCCCTTAACTCCCACCCACCAGTTGTTCACGTTGCCCAATCATATATCTTTGTTTTGTTATGAGAACAGTTCACTTCTCCATCAGACATCTGCGTTAGTGACCTTGCCATTCTTGTAGGCTCTCACGGTCTGTGGATGGCTTCATGGAATCCTGTTTCCTCCCTATGCTTTCCCCCATTTCTATGCCAAGTTAAATAGTGATAGTAGTTAGCAGGCATCTTAGCGATTCAACCTTAATATTAACATTTCACCAACTGCAACTGAATAGGCTGGGATTGTGGTTATAATTAATTAATACATACATGCATAAATAATTGCATATAAAATTAGTCATTTACATTTTAGCTAATAGTCTTGTAATTTTGTAATTTGTTAATAGATGCTTAAAAATACACAGCCATAAAGGGCAGTAAGAATTTCTCTCTTTTTCAGAATAGGAAAAATAAAAATTTGCCAAAATGTTTTCGCAGTTTCATGACCTTTTCACATTGTTCAGCATTCTACTATTTAAACATTCTGCCATTAAGATTTTCATTTATGTATTTAACGTATATTTAAATTATTAACCCTGGCTAAATATTCTTGAAAACTGTGCATTGTCCTACACCTATATAATAATCATTCTTCCTTGATTTTTTTTTTTTTTTTGAGATTGTTTTGGAAAGACTAGGCATAAATTTGGAAGCAGTTAAGCATCACTCATCAAGGGCAATTAAAATTATAATTTGAAATACCAAGTTAGATTAATCCTCAAATATCCTATATTATAGTAGCTTATTTGGATGAGTCAAGTTATAGCATTGTGTCTACAAAGAAACTCAGCAACATGAAGCCACTCTTCTTAAACCTGAAGATACTGAGTTTCCCATTAACTATATATTGTGCAAAAAAGTTTTTAACAATGAAATGACAGTTTGTTTTTAGAAATACTGAAAAAATGAAGTACATATTATTAGCTACTAACTGGGATTATGTCATCTGTATGTTTAATATAAATGTACCTTCACAGGACCTGAGTAAACAGTCTAGACCAAGGGTTCCCAACTGGGGGTGCAAGACGATATTCCAGGGGGTGCGAAAACTTGGATTTAGAAGTTTCAAAACTATAGTGTATCTGCATAATTCGTTATTTCAAACTTTTGTAAGGGGTACGAGAATATATCAGAAGCATTCTAGGGGTGTGAGGCACAGAAAAATTTGGGAACCGCTGGTCTAGACTGAACCAACAAAATGAGAAACTTCATCCCCCCCCCCAAAAGGGCTGTATCCAACCTGAGCATAGTAAGAAACAGAGGAAAAAGCAAGGGGTCTAGAGACAACTCCAGTCATTCTCAGACTCAAACAATAAAAAGGGGAAACCCAATTAAAAGAAGAAGACTGCAACCAAACTGAACATAATAAGGAACAATTAACTAAAATAGAAAATGAACTTTTAGAGATAGACTGTTGGTGACAGGTCACTCATAGAAAGAAAAAAAGTCTACAACAACAAACCTATCTAAGCAGCAAAGTCCAAAAACAAAATTTCATTTTTTCCACATTTGTCCCAAAGCAGTTTCCAAGTAAAAACAAAATTAATTTTATTCTTTTGTTTAATTAGAATAAGGCTTTTCAACCTTTTCACCCATTGTACCACTTTTAGGATATGGCAACATCCGAGTACCACCAGTCACCTAGCAAGGTGTCAAAAACATGATGACCAAAAAAAAAAAAAGGAAAAAAGTGATAAAGTACAGGTAGTCCTCAACTTATAACAGTTCACTTAGTGACTGTTTGAAGTTACAATGGCACTGAAAAAAGTGCCCCCCAAGCCACAGCCGAGCAAGACACCTGCCTGCCCACCCGATGTGCTCTTCCTCCTGTCCAAGATTTTCACTGCTGTGAGCATTTCTGTTGAGGAATGGCAGCGAGGGTAGGGTGGGGTGTGTTTGGTTTTTATTCCCCCCCCCCGTCTGCTGGGTGGTTGAAGCAGGTTGTGGTCACTTCACATGACCCTGGGGCACTGTGACTATCATAAATATGAATCAATTGCCAAGCATCTGAATGTAAATCACAAGACCCTGGAGATGCTGCAACATTCCAGCTGTTCGGTGTTTCTTCTGGGTTCAGCAGAAGTGTCAGGATCAGTGCTGCTTTCCAGCTGATTGGTGCTTCTTCAGGACTCAGCAGAAGCACCAGGATCAGCGCCGAGCTCCAGCTGGAGCCTGGCGCTTATCCTGGCGCTTCCATTGAGCCCTGACAGCCTCAAAGAAGCACTGATCAGCTGCAAAGCGGCATTGATCCTGGTGCTTCCGCTGAGCCCTGACAGTCCTGCAGCTCCAGCCATCTCTTTCAGGCTTGTGCGGTGTTGCCACCAGTTCAGCTCATTCCCCTCCCCCGCTACCACTTTTCTAGGATGGCCACGTACCATTAGTTTATCAGAAAGCCACTGGACTCTGTTTCAGTCATTTGCAGCCTGGTTTACGAATCTATGTTTTTGTTGAGATTTATTGAAATAAATTTATTGAAGTCAGAAACCAGCAAGTTAATCAAGCAGCTATGAACTGGTGTAGTGTTACATTGTCAGATTATAAGCATCACAAAGGATAAAACAAGTGTTGTCTATAACCAGACAAATCCTCTGTCACATAGGAGGAAAACCCATCTTCAGTGAACATTTCATAGCCAGCACTAATGCAGATTTATTACTTTTCAGAGCAATTTCCCAGAGCAGGCAATCTTTGCCCCCAAAAGAGCCGGCCCAGACTGAGGGAAGCCTCGCCCGTGAAGAGCAGCAGCCTTTCTCCACCCATCCGCCGTCGCCATGGCCGAAGCAGATATTGCATTGATTGGCTTGGCAGTCATGGGTCAGAATCTCATCCTCAATATGAATGATCATGGTTTTGTGGTATGTGCTTTTAACTGGACGGTCTCCAAGGTGGACGATTTCCTTGCGAACGAGGCCAAGGGCACCAAAGTGATTGGTGTTCACTCCTTAGAGGAAATGGTCTCAAAGCTGAAAAAGCCCTGTCGTGTCATGATGCCGGTCAAGGCCGGAAGCGCTGTGGGTGATTTCAACAAGTTGGTGCTGCTGCTTTCCTGTGGGGATATCATTATCGATGGAGGAAATTCAAATACAGAGATACCACAAGATGCTGCAAAGAACTCAAGGAAAAAGGCATCCTGTTTGTGGGGAGTAAGTGGGGGTGAAGGAGCCTGATATGGACCCTCCCTTATGCCAGGTGGAGTGAAAGAAACCTGGCCTCACATCAAGACAATATTTCAGAGTATCACAGCCAAAGTACGAACGGGGGAACCATGTTCTGACTGGGTGGGAGATGAAGGGGCTGGGCATTTTGTGAAGATGGTACATAAAGGGATTGAGTACAGTGACATGCAGCTGATCTGTGAGGCTTACCATCTCATGAAGGATGTGCTGGCCATGGACCAAGGTGTTTCAGGAGTGGAATAAGACTGAATTGGATTCCTTCCTGATTGAAATCACAACTGACATCTTGAAATTCCGTGACACCGATGGAAAACATTTGCTTTCTAAAATCAGGGACAGCGCCAGGCAGAAAGGAACAGGAAAATGGACAGCGATTTCCGCTTTGGAATACAGTGTTCCTGTTACTCTTATAGGAGAGGTTGTTTTTGTCCGGTGTTTATCTTCGCTCAAGGATGAAAGGATGCAAGCCAGCAAACTCCTGAGTGGTCCCAAAGTGCAGGCATTTAGTGGGAGTAAGGCAATGTTTCTGGAGGACATTTGTAAAGCCTTCTATGCTTCCAAGATCATTTCCTACCTCCAGGGCTTCACGTTACTGAGGCAAGCCGCCAAGGAGTTTGGCTAGACCCTAAATGATGGCACAATTGCATTAATGTGGTGTGGAGGGTGCATCATCAGGAGTGTTTTCTTGGGCAAAATTAAAGAAGCTTTTGACCGAACACCTGATCTATAAAATTTACTCCTAGATTTTTTTTTTAAGATGGCAGTGGATAATTGCCAGGACTCATGGTGATGTACAATTAGCACTGGGGTCCAGGTGGGAATCCCGATGCCCTGCTTCACCACAGCACT